AGTTAGGTGGGATTTCTTGTGGTATTAGGATTTATGTCATACTGCGATCATGCTGTAATGTTTTAGGAGGTGGCATGTACTTTGCCGCCAGGGCGGTGCATGGGCTGTAGACAGAGCACACATATCAGACAGATGGGTTGATAAGGGACTGAGTGTCCGGTTCATCGTTCCGCCTCATTGAGCAGCACACCAGCATGGCTTGGAGGAAATAACATAATGCGGGCGCGCACACACACACACACACACACACACACAGGTGAGGCCAGATGTCTGAGCCATCTCTGACATCTTAATGAGAGCTGTGGGAGATGCCCTCTCTCTGTTCTTGGCTGCATCAGTTTCACCTGAAATCAGACAGTACCATCATTCAGGGCTGCATGGTGCTGCTGATGTGCTCTGAATGAGACTCTGTTCCAGGACTATAGAGCGGAGCTAACAGTACAGCAGGGTACTGTAGTGTACATGCATGGGAGCCTATAGCTGAACTGGGTTGACAACTGCCTTCCCAGGCCTAACTACTGTCAAAGCATGTTCAAATCCTCCACCAGTCCAGTCCAGTCCCTCCAGATCCTACCCCGGAGACGCTGTCTGACGGCTCTCACATTTAAATCGCCTCCGTATCATCATCATAAAAAGAGATAAAACCATAGGGAACCATGGAAACCAAGCCAACGTCACAAGAAAAGAAGAGCCATTCCAAGCTGTGGGCTGGCTGCCTCTTGACAGGGGGAAGCCACATGTCATGTCACCACACCACGCCAGCAGCTACAAATGCAATCAATGAGCAGTCTTACACTGACAGCTGAGCACTCCGAGATGTTGCTTTCTTTTTCCTCAGGCCTAATCTGGGCCGGCGTTGACCATAGGCTTCACGTCTGCCAGACAGGGAGTGACACACAATTACAATGACATTTTAGTCATTTAGCAGACTCTCTTCTCCAGAGCGATTTACAGGAGCAATTAGGGTTAAGTGCCTTGCTCAAGGGCACATTGGCAGATGTTTTACCTAGTCGGCACGGGGATTTGAATCAGCGACCTTTCGGTTTCTGGCCCAACGCACTTAACTGCTAGGCTACCTGCCGCCACACACACAATACACACACAATCATAAAGCATGCACGCACACACACATGCACACACACACAGTCATTCTACCCGCTTCCACTTGTATTTTACTATTACTCGTCTTCCGGATGACCACCTGCTCATAGCGGAGTAATCCACGAAGGAAGTGTGTGCGTGTGTGTGCGCGTGTGCATGATGTCAATCACCTCCCAGACGGATTTGAAGTCTAGTTATCTGTCATGTCAGACTGATCTAATGGTAAGTCATAGTCATACATCGCCTGCCTCTCTGACATCATTCAACTACCTTTGTTTGAGGCTTATTTGAAGGACGAGCTTTAGCTGTCAATCATCTGCAGGCTGCAGATGTGAAATGAAATATTCCATCTGTACTCCCAGAGATGCATTATATATGAGGGTGGTGGAGTAGTCAGAAGACCTTTAAGACCAAAATGAATGGATGACTACTGGACATTGGAGAAAAGTTTCCTTCTGCAAAATGGTAACCCTGGAAATACTTTCAAAGTTGTGTCAGATTGAGGGCTATTGTAAAACTGGAGAGAGGAAATACAATAATCGATAGTTCTATCCTATATCCTTGGTGTGCGTCCTATGTGAGTTTCATTCTGTATACTTTAATTCACCACGCAATATTACACACCAAACGCAGAAACAACCAATAAACCAGCAGAAAAACCTCCAGAAATATGGACTCATATCTTCAAATTCCAAAAGAGAGTGGAGAGCAATGTCTCTGAAAGCTCCCTCATCTGTTGAGCTGAATTGAAATGTGAGTGAGGGCGGTTACTTCCTGACTGACAGCTTGGCAGAGGCGGAGAGAAAAGGGAAAGGAGGATGTGTACTGGACTGATCAAAGCCTGCAGATGTTCCTCAATGTAGCGAATCTGCATCCTAACTAGAGAGGAGGAGAACGTAATCAGCTCACATAGTTCTGTCTGTATGTCACTCACACACACAGATATAGACCTGCATGTAGACACACACACCATCTCTGTTACCCTTTTCTAACATTTCTACTTTGACTCTCAATATCTCATTATTTGTATTAATCCTCAGGTATATCATGGGGATTTGACTGCTGAACTAGGCTAGTTCACTGAAGTAAACACTTGTAACATTGTAGGACCAGTGTCACACTACCTAATTCTTCAGTAAAAACAGAGTAATTACACATCTTTGACTTTCTGAGATAGACGGTTCCTGGTCTCCACTAACGGCTGGGTATCATCTTCCCTTGGCCCCTGTGCGACGCCCAGCGACCTGATCCATCTCAGCTACCTGATTAATTATCCTAATTGAAGGGCCAGTTTGAGTTAACACTGGCCTCAATGAGACAGTAATTAGAGCCAGTTTTATAGGCCAGGAGTCATCAACCTTTTCTTGCCCAGGGACCCCCTCCCAGGCAAACCAGCAACCCAGGTACCCCCATCATACGTTAGCCCCCCAAAAAAGTTTCACGTCTTGTCATCAGGTGAATGATAATTGCAAAGGAGAAGTAATCAACATTTTAATATGAATAGATTTGGTAGATAGTTTTTCATTATTTTGACCTCCCCACATTGTAATTGGAAGAGAAGAAAGGTAACTCCAAACACATCTTCACTAAGAGCAGTTATTTATCTGGTTAAACAAAGTTTAGCCATATGTTGGCAAACATGTATGTCCATGTCAAGAAAGCTTACCAGCAGCCAGCGGCACTGGTAGCCTATTCACCGGTGCTTTTTCAAAGCCTATGTCAGATAATCCAGTGAGTGTAATTGGCTCCAATGAGTGTAATTTGCTCAATATTACGAGTTGAGAAATGAAGTTGACATCATTAGAAATAAAATATTATCCTCTTCTCTACTGTAGGAATGTAATAAAACATTTGTTAATTATGTTGTTGCTAGCGATATTCATAAAAACTATGAAATAAAGTACAAATATATATTTTCGCGGATCCCCTGCAGTACCTCAGCAGACCCCCGGTTGAATACCCCTGTTATAGGCAAATAAAAGAGCGCCATCGGTGCAATGGAGTCAAAAGCATGGCATATCAGTCGGACTCTGCAGTGAGCAGCAGAGCACCGGCCCGTTGACCATAATAGCACCAGAGCCTCAGGAACCAGAGGCGGGCGCCGTTTGAGGATGAGTTTAAAAAGATCAATCCTGGGCGTAGGCTGGGCGCTGAATGCAGCAATTAGCTGCGTCTCTGGGTCCCACCGTGGGCCATATCTTATCATTTCATCCTGTGAGTGACCCAGACTTAAAGTCAATACCACAGCGAGTCAGCTCCATAAGAGCTCAGGGGATCTGACGCCGGCGGAAAACAGCCCGTCACCAGGGGGACCGCCACCGCCTGACGTACAACACACCAACAAGGGGAGGAGGGTGGGGTTGCTCGGGTGTGACTGGCAGCAACAACACCCCATCCATTATTGATTGCATGTTGGTAGAACCCCGGAGACTGTTGTCCGTACTGTTCTTCCATTAGGGCCAGATGAATCACCTGCTCTTCCTCCATCAATGTCCACCTTCTTCAATGTCCAACACTGACAAGTCTGTCAATCAATCCCAACCTGAAATCCCTCATCTGTTCCCATTCCCTCCCTCTCTAACCCCTGACACCATCCCTCTGTTCACCACAACAACACAGTCAGAATGTGAGTGAACCCCAGCCAATCTTCTCTCTACACACAAACACAGCTTACCTACCCATAATCCTTCTAAACACCTCCACCATTACTATGTTCACAGGCTTTCTTCCTGCTGAGGGCTGGAGGGAAGGAAGATGCTGCTCGTGTTTCAAACAGTCACAGCTGAACTGCGAGACAGCAGAGTTCGTTCTGCATGCCCACCAGTGTGTTAGTGTGTGACACCAAGACTGGGTTTTAATGGGAGGATATCCATGCTGCTCCGAGCGCTCTTGCAGATAGGGGGAATATGTTCGAGTAATAGGAGGACGGAGCTCATCTCTCTGGGTTCACAGTGTGCGTCTTCAGAGGCACGCAAGCACGCAACGCAGCGTGCTACTTGACATGTACTGTACGCCACAGCAGGAGCAAGAGGGTCCAGGCAGCCTGGGAGCAGTTTGAGATTCATAGTTAATTACCAGAGTGCTTCCTTCATCTCCAGCCACTTGACAACTTCAGCACACTCCTGATCTATCAGTGCTTTACTGAATAGAAACAACCAACAGGTCAGAAAAGAGAAGTGGAAAAATCCTACTGGGTCAGTCGTGTGAGACGAGGGAGTGTATATGTGAAAGTTTGTGTGTGCGCAAATGTGGGACTGTCTCCGTGTCTGGGCCTGATGTTGTAGGCAGAGGAGCAGTCATAGCTCAAAAACTAAAGCAGCCCACCAGTGGGGCTGTGAGGGAGAGAGGGGACGACAGAATTAAGGAAAATAAAATAACATGCTGCTTCTCCGTCAATTAAAACCCAGCAGCCAGGATTAAATGGCATAAAATTAGCTTTTTAGAGGACATTTTTCAAAATGTCAGCCATCACTACAGCCACACTGCTATTGTTTCTTATAGGCTGGGGAGGGGAGCCACACAGAGGAATGAGGTGAGGAGTTCAGTTAAAACACCCAAAGGATGCTGGGAGATGCATGCCCTGCAGTCATTCGTGTTTTTATTGATGCGTGTGCTGTTGTCTAATGCAAACTAATAGGGATGTAGCCTGCAGTGCTCAGCGTGTATACACCGCTGACGACTCTAGTCTCAGGGAATGAGGATGTTCTTGTGATATCCTGAAAACAGTCCGATATAAAAACATCCTGTGCTCTTCTTCAGCCTAATGCTGAGAGGAGTGCATAAAAAATACTTTTATGAAAAGTTTTCAAACAGTTCTCAAACGTAACTGTCACAGAAAAGGAATACAATGCATGCATACAAAAGTGGATGTTCACAAACATGGAATGCACACACACACGCTAACTGCAGAAGGTGAAAGAAGACGCGGGAGAAAGTTCCAACTCACCAATCACTTTGACAAAGTATGCGTCGGCTTCAAAGTTGTTCTTCAAAGCGTGGATGACGAAGCCCTCTTTCCCCTCTTCTTTGCTGAGCACGATCATATCTAATATTCCCTGCAAATGAGAAGTGGTAATACATCACAGACAAAAGGAGATGGAGTCAAAGCTTTCTTTGACGGTCTCTTCTGATGTACCACTTCATCCCCGTTATGGACAGAGAACAGATCCTCCATTACAGCAGTTATCTGCACTCCTCTCCCACTCTCTGTCAGGGAATTACAGAGAAAATGAGCCAACTCCCAGAGACAGGAGTGGAATATAGATATAGAGATGGATAACTACTCCCTCCACTGAAACGAGGAGACAGGGCATATTGCACTAGAATACATATCATACATAAATCACACAGCCAAAACAAACACATAGATTATGTAATCTCTAAGTAGGCAAGGCCATCTTGGATGCGGTAATGAAAGAGAGGGATACCGGGAGGCAGGAAGTGATGGGGTTAAGTCAGATCGAGATAGAGCTCTCAGGAAGAAGGACGGGAGGAGTGGAGGAAAACTTTGACTAAATAAGACGTAAGCTGTCCCAGATGGTGAATCTTGGTCAGGATGAAAGCTACGTGTCCATTTAAAGATTTAAAAAGACAACCAGATTAGAGATGCAGCAGAGCCCACTCTCCAAATCTCCTGAAGAGCTGATGGGCCCAACCCATCTTATCTACACCTCTCGACTGCACACATCTCATCTCAGAGGGGGGCTATGCTGTGAGCTGATTGGGCTCCTAATAGGGGGACAATGACCGTGCTCTGTCTGTCAGGCCCTGTTGCTTCACTGTGCCAGAGCCGGGCTGGCATCCTGTGCTAATGGTGCCCCGCAGTAACATGCTCGTCTTGGCACACCCTTCCGTCGGCTCGGAGTGGGATTAGGAGAGAGAGAGATGCTGCCGTAATCTGCTTGCCAGTGTGGGAGAGAGTGCCTCATGAGCGTGCCATTTACAGCCTCATGTAGCTACCGCCGCTGAAGCCTCTCAGGGAGACTGTTGACAAAAGAGGATCCAGTGCCACCCACAAACAGGACAATTAACAAGACTAACCATACTGGAAGACACATTGAAAAGAGCCAATTCTTACAGACATAATGAAAACACTCCCAATGGATTTCTGTGCCATTCAAACTTCGAATTTGTGGGGGTTGTCATACAAATTGAAACAAAATCCCACTAAACCCTGCTCTGCGATGATATAAATGAGACTACATGACAAACTTGGATGACTGTCAGGGTGACCAAACCTGCCCTATCCACAGCAGTAAACAGAGCTGCTGGTGGGATCTAGACCACAAGACAGAGAGAAAAACGGCAATCCTAAAGTGACTGAGAGCAGCCAGTCTGCCAGACTCCCAGTCACAGCTGGGGTAGTAACAACTCTGCTGATGGTTAATTGGTTAATGATGAGACGCGAGAGCCCGAGGTCACCAGTGATCTTCCTTTAATCAGCAGAGCCTTTGGTTGTGTTACAGTGTCAAGGCGTGAAGAGGGGAGCCTGGGCTAATTAGAGAGAAAGAGAGCGAGAGAGAGGAGGAGAGGTTGAGAGGAGAGAGGAATAGGGGATAGAGGGTTGTGCTCACATCCTCATAGATGTCAAATAAGGTGGCAAGGGGAAGAGAGGGAGAGAGAGGGAGTGGGGGTTGTACTCACATCCTCATAGATGTCGAAGAAGGTGGCGACGGCGGCCCCGGGGATGGCCCCCAGGTCAGACTGGTCCCAGTGGACACGGAACATGCGGCCCACATCCTTACAGCTGGCGTTGTTACACGGAACATTCTCCAGGAGGAAGGCCTGCTGACCACTACAACACAGAGGAGAGAGGGAGAGATGCTGTTAGGGACTGCACAAACACACCCTGCGTTAATCGATGGATACTGTTCATACGGACAGGAACACAGTCAAGGACGGACAAAACAACAGAGGTAGGTACTCCTCGAAAGATGCTACAACATAAGTAATCAGAGATGAAAATGGACTAGAGCAGGGTTGTCAAACTCTTTTTGCCCCGGGGGCCGCATTCGGTCTTCACCGAGGTCCGGAGGGCCACACTGAAAATTGGTTATATTTCCTCGCCGTCAAAATTTGCTAAAAAGAGTCCTCTATTTTTTATGCTCCCCGACTGTCTAGCTTTCATTTTGGTGTTTTTTAGCGAGCTGGACACAGCCAAGAAACTGTATGAATGTAGGTCCATTATCATTTCTACACAGTTTTGATTTGGGTTTAGTCATTTTAAAGTATATTGAGTTTGTTTTCCCACACAATTGTTTTCTTTTAATTGTATTTTATTTGTTTATTTAATGTTTTACTCAAACCACCCGCGGGCCGGATTGGGCTGTATGTTTGACACCCCTGGACTAGAGGATGACGATGGACACTGTATCCTCTGGGACACTTATACACAGAAGATATTGCTGTCTATTGGTGTAAAACACACTCCTCAATTAGTGAAGCAATACCTAAATGAACACACTAGTGTAGTAAAAACAAATAACATACTACACTTTTAAAAGAGAAGGGGAGTAACGATACAACAGAGACCTGTGCAGAAAATACTCAGTTAATAGGCAATTAGTAGCCGTGTACAATTAAGTCCACAACGGAGATACAAACATGAAACTTATTTCAAACCATTTGAATGGGGGAGGGTTAGAACTCCAGCCTGGGAGACTGTATTGAACAGGGAAATGTAATAGTTTGGTTGCAGAGCTTTAATTTCCACAGCATTTTCCAACATTTGTTTGAGTTGTGATTTTTTCTGTCTTCCTGTACCCATTTCTGTCGAGACGATTACCGTGTATACGCCTTTAGATCTTATCCTGAGTGTCGAAATGGAGCAAGTCTAAAAATAGAATCAGCGTGAAAATGTTCTCTTTTTCCACCTGTCTTTTCATTCCATTCTCTCGCTCCCTCTCTCTCTTTTCTGACTGCAGCCGTCTTGCGCATTGAAGGGAGCGTTGTGGTGGAGAGGACCGCCGGCTATGAGGCGGAGAGAAACTCTCACCCTTGAGGACGGCTTGGCATTATGTGTGTGTGTGTGTGTGTGGAGAGAGAGACAAGGTATGAGTCTCCTGAGTGGCGCAGTGGTCTAAGGCACTGCATCGCAGTGCTAGCTGTGCCACTAGAGATCCTGGTTCGTATCCAGGCTCTGTCGTAGCCGGCCGTGACCGGGAGACCCATGGGGCGGCGCGCAATTGGCCCAGCGTCGTCCAGGGTAGGGGAGGGAATGGCCGGTAGGGATGTAGCTCAGTTGATAGAGCATGGTGTTTGCAACGCCAGGGTTGTGGGTTCGATTCCCACAGGGGGTATGAAAAAAAATATATAATGTAAGTCGCTCTGGATAAGAGCGTCTGCTAAATGACGTAAATGTAAATGTAAAATGTAATGAGTGAGAATGTGTTTCCATCTTTGTGTGTCGCTGAAAGACTGAGAAATGTGACACTGCAACGACGTTCAATTGGTATGCTCAACACATAGCCTAGCAAGATGGAGAGAGGTAAACAAACTTGGAAATGGAGACAGTCTCCCACTCCAACACACACCAAAGCATGTCCTTCCACATTATGAAGCCAGAGGACAAACTCACACATTCCCTATATGCCCGGTCTCTCTCTACTCCCACCAGGACACGTCTGTATATTAATTTTAACAGAACAAAAAGCCCAGCTTCTATCAGACTGGGAGGACCTTGAGACTAAGCTGTTAAAATAACAACCTGCTGTACTTACAGTACGGAGCCGTCGTCTACCAGGGTTCAATTAAAACTAGATCTGATGGATATTGCTCCAGGCGGCTGGATTAAATAATGTGAAGACAATTTGAGGACAGGCATCATGCTATGCTGTATTGGCACTTTGTAAGGGATTGAAAGGATAGGTGAAATTACACATGTAGGGAAGGTTTGCTCTTTACTTTTATTGTCAGTCAATATGGACATTAGCATCTTCCTCTCCTGCTGCTTGGCCGGATCCAACACACACCATTAGCTTTTAACTGTTAGAATAACCATACAGAACTTTGTAGTAACATCAGATGTTTACTAAGAAAGTCTGGGCAATACAAGGCACTGTCTGGACACAGATTGAAGTCGCATATTGGTCATAAGTGCCACTCACAATGTGTGGCACGACTAAGTCTAACTAATGCCACCTTGGAGTGCTACCACATGCCCTAATGAATTTGGCACATCAAAGCCTTTATGATGGGTCAATCATTCAAATGAACAGTTTGATGCATTACTGGCACATCTGAATGACCATTTTATGTGCAGCTCACAGAATCTCACACCTGAGACAGGGTTAGAAATGTGGTTGAGGACCTTTTGGCTGTAAAAGCCTAACACAAAGGATATTTTTTTCTCATTCCAAATCGAATAGGCAGACAATGGTCTGGAATTCTCCCCTGTGGATGCCAGTCTGAGTGAATGCCCCAGTGGCCAGCCTCCAGGGGTGGGCACACAGACCTGCAGAGAGGAGTGCTACTACACATGCTCCTGTGGACAAACAGGATTCCTTATAGCTTGAAGTGGTCAACAACATCAAGCCCAAACGACTTCCTAGAACAGCCTCCTGGGAAAATACAATCAGCACTAGGTCAGAAAGAGATTACCCTGGGAGGACACTCAATCAGTAATATCTATTCTCAACTGGATGAAAATACTAATATTATGTCTTTGATTGTGTCTCCACCCCATAATCAGCCCCACATCTCAATCAAACTGATGCCTGTGTTTATCGATCTCATCTGTGCAGCTAACGATTGCCATAGACTGTGTGTGTGTGTGCTGCATCAGGAGAGTGATGCTGTTATTTAAGAGTTTCAGGCTGAAACTTAGAGAGAGCCCCCATTGTTATTCATTGCTGTGTTGGTGGGTGTGTGTTCTCTCTCTCTGGGCCTTTGTGTCTTCTGAAGAGCCTGTCTTTCTCCATAGGGGATGTAAGGGGCTGTGATGAGCACAAGGTCAGGAGAGGTGCCAAAGTCACTGATAAAGGGCAATAGCCTGAGTGTATTACAAATCATCTAGGTAGGATATACTAGAGCACTCCAACACAAACACATCCATGCACACACACACACACACGCACGCACAACACGAGTCAGCTCCAAAAGCTCACTCGGAAACACACACACTAAACAGAGACACACACAGAAGTACACACACCAAAGAGAGGTATACAGACAGAGATGCAGTACACAAGTCTTGCTCTCCACCAAGTTAAATTTTTTACCGCAACAGAATAATTCAACTGCAGTCACACTTGTACGCGCTGCACCAAATGTACTTCTCAATCCTACACAATTACGGTCACAGAAATTCAATAGTATTACATACTATAGACCAGGGTTTCCCAAACTTGGTCCTGCCCTGTCCTTGCGAAAACAGGTTTTTGGAAATGTTTGCAAATGTATTAAAAAATTAAAAAACACAAATACCTTATATACATAAGTATTCAGACCCTTTGCTATGAGACTCGAAATTGAGCTCAGGTGCATCCTGTTCTCATTGATCATTATTGAGATGTTTCTGCAACTTGATTGGAGTCCACCTGTGGTAAATTCAATTGATTTAACATGATTTGGAAAGGCACACACTTGTCTATACAAGGTCCCACAGTTGCCAGTGCATGTCAGTCGAAGGAATTGTCCGTAGAGCTCCGAGACAGGATTGTGTCGAGGCACAGATCTAAGGAAGGGTATCAAAAAATGTCTGCAGCATTGAAGGTCCCCAAGAACACAGTGGCCTCCATCATTTTTAAATGGAAGATGTTTGGAACCACCAAGACTTCCTAGAACTGGCTGCCCGGCCAAACTGAGCAATCGGGAGAGAAGGGCCTTGGAGATGGGAGAACCTTCCAGAAGGACAACCATCTCTGTGGAACTCCACCAATCAGGCATTTATGGTAGAGGCGCCAGACGGAAGCCAATCCTCTGTAAAAGGCACATGACAGCCAGCTTGGAGTTCGCCAAAAGGCACCTAAAGGACTCTCAGACCATGAGAAACAAGATTCTCTGGTCTAATGAAACCAAGATTGAACTCTTTGGCTTGTTTGCCAAGCGTCACGTCTGGAGGAAACCTGGCACCATCCCTACGTTGAAGCACGGTGGTGGCAGCATCATGCTGTGGGGATCAGGGACTGGGAGACCAGTCAGGATTGAGGGAAAGATGAACGGAGGAAAGTACAGAGAGATCCTTGACGAAGGACACTGCAACACTGAAGCATGCATGAGAGCATCAGCTGTTCCAGATTACTGTGTGATCACGCTCTCAGTAGCCGATGTGAGTAAGACCTTTAAACAGGTCAACATTCAGACAGATTACCAAGACGTGTACTACGAGCATGAGCTGACCAACTGGCAAGTGTCTTCACTGACATTTTCAACATGTCCCTGACTGAGTCTGTAATACCAACATGTTTCAAGCAGACCACCATAGTCCATGTGCCCAAGAACACTAAGGTATCCTGCCTAAGTGACTACCGACACATAGCACTCACGTCAATTTGCATACCGCCCCAACAGATCCACAGATGATGCAATCTCTATTGCACTCCACACTGCCCTTTCTCACCTGGACAAAAGGAACACCTACGTGAGAATGCTATTCATTGACTAAAGCTCATCACCAAGCTAAGGACCCAGGGACTATACACCTCCCTCTGCAACTGGATCCTGGACTTCCTGACGGGCCGCCCCCAGGTGGTAAGGGTAGGTAAACATTGAACCGCTGTAGTTTACAACAATTATCGTTTCTGAGGTGGAAGTTGGGAGAGTTATATTTGGGTGTTTCAGTGAAACGTAAGTGAGGGAGGCCCCGCTCTCTCCTTTCCCAGATGTTTAGTTCATTTCATTCCGATCTCCTTTGCATTATTGTAGCCACTTTCTGTAGCCTGTCAACTATGCCTCTGTCTATCCCTGTTCTCTCCTCTCCGCACAGGCTATACAAAGGCATCACACCGCGTGGCTGCTGCCTCTCTAACCTGGTGGTCCCTGCACGCACCACCCACGTGAAGTTCCAGGTCTCAGGCAGCCTCTGGAACTGCCGTTCTGCTGCCAACAAGGCAGAGTTCATCTCAGCCTATGCTACCCTCCAGTCCCTCGACTTCTTGGCGCTGACGGAAACATGGATTACCACTGAAAACATCTGGCCGGCGGGGTGGTGGCACAGGAATCCTCATCTCTCAAGTGGACATTCTCTCTTTTTCCCATGACCCATCTGTCTATCTCCTCATTTGAATTCCATGCTGTCACAGTCACTAGCCCATTCAAGCTTAACATCCTTGTCATTTATCGCCCTCCAGGTTCCCTTGGAGAGTTCATCAATGAGCTTGACGCCTTGATAAGTTCCTTTCCTGAGGATGGCTCACCCCTCACAGTTCTGGGTGACTTCAACCTCCCTACGTCTACCTTTGACTCATTTCTCTCTGCCTCCTTCTTTCCACTCCTCTCCTCTTTTGACCTCACCCTCTCACCGTCCCCCCCTACTCACAAGGCAGGCAATACGCTTGACCTCATCTTTACTAGATGCTGTTCTTCTACTAATCTCACTGCAACTCCCCTCCATGTCTCCGACCACTACTTTGTATCCTTTTCTCTTTCGCTCTCCTCCAACACTACTCACTCTGCCCCTACTCAGATGGTAATGCGCCGTCGCAACCTTCGCTCTCTCTCTCCCGCTACTCTCTCCTCTTCCATCCTATCATCTCTTCCCTCTGCTCAAACCTTCTCCCTCCAATCTCCTGATTCTGCCTCCTCAACCCTCCTCTCCTCCCTTTCTGCATCCTTTGACTCTCTATGTCCCCTATCCTCCCGGCCGGCTCGATCCTCCCCTCCTGCTCCGTGGCTTGATGACTCATTGCGAGCTCACAGAACAGGGCTCCGGGCAGCCGAGCGGAAATGGAGGAAAACTAGACACCTCCTCTCTACATTTTCTTATTCTGTTTCTGCTGCTAAAGCCACTTTCTACCACTCTAAATTCCAAGCATCTGCCTCTAACCCTAGGAAGCTCTTTGCCACCTTCTCCTCCCTGCTGAATCCTCCTCCTCCTCCCCCTCCCTAATCCCTCTCTGTGGATGACTTCGTCAACCATTTTGAAAAGAAGGTTGACGACATCCGATCCTCGTTTGTTAAGTCAAATGACACTGCTGGTCCTGCTCACACTGCCCTACCCTATGCGTTGACTTCTTCCTCCCCTCTCTCTCAAGATAAAATCTTGCGACTTGTGACGGCCGGCCGCCCAACAACCTGCCCGCTTCACCCTATCCCCTCCTCTCTTCTCCAGACCATCTCCGGTGACCTTCTCCCTTACCTCACCTCACTCATCAACTCATCCTTGACCGCTGGCTATGTTCCTTCCGTCTTCACGAGTTGCACCCCTTCTCAAAAAACCAACACTTGATCCCTCTGATGTCAACAACTACAGACCAGTATCCCTTCTTTCTTTTCTCTCCAAAACTTTTGAGCATGCCGTCTTTAGCCAACTCTCTTGCTATCTCTCTCAGAATTACCTTCTTGATCCAAACCAGTCAGGTTTCAAGACTGGTCATTCAACTGAGACTGCTCTTCTCTGTGTCACGGAGGCTCTCCGCACTGCTAAAGCTAACTCTCTCTCCTCTGCTCTTGTCCTTCTAGACCTGTCTGCTGCCTTTGATACTGTGAACCATCAGATCCTCCTCTCCACCCTCTCCGAGCTGGGCATCTGCGGCGCGGCTCACTCTTGGATTGCGTCCTACCTGACCGGTCGCTTCTACCAAGTGGCGTGGCGAGAATCTGTCTCCGCACCACGTGCTCTCACCACTGGTGTCCCCCAGGGCTCAGTTCTAGGCCCTCTCCTATTCTCGCTATACACCAAGTCACTTGGCTCTGTCATATCCTCACATGGCCTCTCCTATCATTGCTACGCAGACGACACACAACTAGTCTTCTCCTTTCCCCCTTCTGATAACCAGGTGGCGAATCGCATCTCTGCATGTCTGGCAGACATATCAGTGTGGATGACGGATCACCACCTCAAGCTGAACCTCGGCAAGACGGAGCTGCTCTTCCTCCCGGGGAAGGACTGCCCGTTCCATGATCTCGCCATCACGGTTGACAACTCCGTTGTGTCCACCTCCCAGAGTGCGAAGAGCCTTGGCGTGAACCTGGACAACACCCTGTCGTTCTCCGCTAACATCAAGGCGGTGAACCGATCCTGTAGGCTCATGCTCTACAACATTCAGAGAGTACGACCCTGCCTTACACAGGAAGCGGCACAGGTCCTAATCCAGGCACTTGTCATCTCCCATCTGGATTACTGTAACTCGCTGTTGGCTGGGCTCCCTGCCTGTGCCATTAAACCCCTACAACTCATCCAGAATGCCGCAGCCCGTCTGGTGTTCAACCTTCCCAAGTTCTCTCACGTCACCCCGCTCCTCCGCACACTCCACTGGCTTCCAGTTGAAGCTTGCATCTGCTACAAGACCATGGTGCTTGCCTACGGAGATGTGAGGGGAACGGCACCTCCGTAACTTCAGGCTCTGATCAGTCCGTACACCCAAACGAGGGCATTGCGTTCATCTACCTCTGGCCTGCTGGCCCCCCTACCTCTGCGGAAGCACAGTTCCCGCTCAGCCCAGTCAAAACGGTTCGCTGCTCTGGCACCCCAATGGTGGAACAAGCTCCCTCACGACGCCAGGACAGCGGAGTCACTCACCACCTTCCGGAGACACTTGAAACCCCACCTCTTTAAGGAATACCTGGGATAGGATGAAGTAATCCTTCTACCCCCCCTTACCCCACCCCAAAAAATTAAAATTAAAAATAAAAATACATATTGTAAAGTGGTTATCCCACTGGCTATCATAAGTTGAATGCACCAATTTGTAAGTCGCTCTGGATAAGAGCGTCTGCTAAATGACGTAAATGTAACAACACATCTGCCACGCTGATCCTCAACACGGGGGCCCCTCAGAGGTGCGTGCTCAGTCACCTCCTGTACTCCCTTGTTCACTCATGACTGCATGGCCAAGCACGACTTCTACACCATCATTAAGTTTGCCGACGACACAACAGTGGTAAGCCTGATCACCGACAACGATGCAACAGCCTATAGGGAGGAGGTCAGAGACCTGGCCATGTGGTGCCAGGATAACAACCTCTCCCTCAACGTGATCAAGATAAAGGAAATTATTGTGGACAACAGGAAAAGGAGGACTGAGCACGCCTCCATTCTCATCGACAGGGCTGCAGTGGAGCAGGTTGAGAGCTTCAAGTTCCTTGGTGTCCACATCACCAACTAACTATCTTTTTTCTTTTTTTTCATTTTTTTTTTTTCAACTATCATGGTCCAAACATACCAAGACAGTCGTGAAGAGGGCACGACAAAGCCTAATCCCCCTCAGGACACTGAAAAGATTTGGCATGGGTCCTCAGATCCTCAAAAAGTTATACAGCTGCACCATCGAGAGCATCCTGACTGGTTGCATCACCGCCTGGTAAGGCAACTGCTCGGCCTCCGACCGCAAGGCACTACAGAGAGTAGTGCGTATGGCCCAGTACATCATTGGGGCCAAGCTTTCTGCCATCCAGAACCTCTATACCAGGCGGTGTCAGAGGAAGGCCATCAAAATGGCCAAAGACTCCAGGCACCCTAGTCATAGACTGTTCTCTCTGCTACCGCACAGTAAGCGGTACCGGAGCGCCAAGTCTAGATCAAAAAGGCTTCTTAACAGCTTCTACCCCCAAGCCATAAGACTCCTGAACAGCTAATCAAATGGCTACCCGGACTATTTGCATTGTCTCAGCCAAGACAACGCAGGAGTGGCTTCGGGACCAGTCTCTGAATGCCCTTGAGTGAGCCCGGACTTGAACCCGATCAAACATCTCTGGAGAGACCTGAAAATAGCTGTGCAGCGACGCTCCCCATCCAATCTGACAGAGCTTGAGAAGATCTGCAGAGAAGAATGAGAGAAACTCCCCCAAAAAAGGTGTGGTAATCTTGTAGCGTCATACCCAAGAAGACTTGTGGCTGTAATCGCTGCCAAAGGTGCTTCAACAAAGTACTGAGTAAAGGGTCTGTATACTTATGTAAATGTGATATTTCAGTTTTTTATTTTTAATACATTTGCAAACATTTCTAAAAACCAGTTTTTGCTTTGTCATTATGGGGTATTGATGAGGGGGAAAAAACAATTTAATCCATTTTAGAATAAGGCTGTAATGTAACAAAATGTGGAAAAAGCCAAGGGGTCTGAATACTTTCTGAATGCACTGTACATTTTGGTTTTTGCCCTAGCACTACACAGCTGATTCAAATAATCAAAGCTTGATGATGAGTTGGTTACTGAATCAGCTGTGTAGTGCTAGGGCTAAAACCAAAACGTGCACCCAGGGTGGGCACCAGGATGGAGTTTGGGAAACTGTGCTATAGACGGGCGATTCCACGCCAGCGTAGACAGATTTTTTTTTTGTCATCTCAGTTAGTTCTGGTAATTCTCACATAGAAACTTCATTGGGAGGAAGGATGTTTGACATGCTTTTTACATTTGAATCACAAACCATTTTTGAGAAAAAAACATGATGAAAGTGGCCATTTTAGGCACTTTTTAGACCTATACATGCCTCCTGTAAGACCCTATGATCTGTGAACCGTACATGATACAGACAACAACTTGGTGTCAATATACTCCTTATAGTGTGTTCTAACATATGGAGTATATCTCGATTCTGAAATACACATTTTCACATTCATTTTTTCAACATTAAAACTATTAATATTAATTTCTCAAAAGTACTTATCCCAAAAATATTTTATGCCTACTCTGGCGTGGAATCGGCCTTACAGGCAATAGATACCCTCTTAGCACATAGCCTACTTCTGCAATGAGACTGACACTGAAGAATGAAATCACACAGGAAACAACTGGAGATTGCAGACAGACCCTCTGAGTTATAAAAAGCCTGAACATCAAAACCCATTTCACCACTCAGCACAGCAGTGTTCCACTGAGGGAAGAAGCATTTTAGCTGTCATCAGCACCCTGTAGCGGTGGACTGTGTATGCGGAAAGATCCAGACAAATCACTGAAATGCACAGAATCCATTTTAAAGACATCTCAGATCCACTCTCATTAGCAGGAATAAACAGATAGGAGATCAGGTAACAGGTTTTAGACAGTTTTGTAACTCTTTGACTGTGTGTGTCTATGTAAGCTCAACGGCTCAGCACTGGGCCTGTTATATCGGACACAGAGCCCCACCCCCCTCCTTTGCAGGTGCGAGTCCTGACTGGGGACCTGCCGTGCCAAAGCACTCTAAGGCTCCTAACTAATTGGCCACTGTGGACCCTCTGAGAGGCCAGACTGACAGAGTGCCTGTTGCCTGACCTCTCTCTCCTCCTCCTCCTTCTCCTCACTTCCATCCACTAGCCAGCCCAGCCTGTCTGGAGAAGACACCCATCCCAGGGGAGGGTTTACCAGCCCAGACAGCAGTTCACCTCCCCCCCCCCTCCCGTCTGAGGAAGAGAACTCACTGGTCATTGAAACTCAGCAAGACCAACTACTTCTGTCATTGAACGTGTGTGTGAGAGAAAGAGAGGAGGAAACAGAGAGATCAAATCTACAGTAGAGAAATAAGATAAAACGTGAAATGGTCCTTCTAGTGTTGTTAGGGTGAGAGACACAGACGTGCACAAACAATATCTCTCCTACTTATACAGCAAAAAAAAAACACCTGTCAGTCTACCAAAGGCAAACAAGCATTATCTGTCTGTCATAGACTGTATATTATGCTCAGAGTGCTGGTCTACTGAAAAGAGACTGGCCATGTCATTTGATCAGGTCAGGGGCACAACATTACACATGTCAACATACAGTGAGGGAAAAAAGTATTTGATCCCCTGCTGATTTTGTATGTTTGCCCACTGACAAAGACATGATCAGTCTATAATTTTAATGGTAGGTTTATTTGAACAGTGAGAGACAGAATAACAACAACAAAATCCAGAAAAACGCATGTCAAAAATGTTATAAATGTTATAAATTGATTTGCATTTGAATGAGGGAAGTAAGTATTTGACCCCTCTGCAAAACATGACTTAGTACTAGTTGGCAATCACAGAGGTCAGACGTTTCTTGTAGTTGGCCACCAGGTTTGCACACATCTCAGGAGGGATTTTGTCCCACTCCTCTTTGCATATCTTCTCCAAGTCATTAAGGTTTCGAGCCTGACATTTGGCAACTCAAACCTTCAGCTCCCTCCACAGATTTTCTATGGGATTAAGGTCTGGAGACTGGCTAGGCCACTCCAGGACCTTAATGTGCTTCTTCTTGAGCGACTCCTTTGTTGCCTTGGCCGTGTGTTTTGGGTCATTGTCATGCTGGAATACCCATCCACGACCCATTTTCAATGCCCTGGCTGAGGGAAGGAGGTTATCACCCACGATTTGACGGTACATGGCCCGTCCATCGTCCCTTTGATGCGGTGAAGTTGTCCTGTCCCCTTAGCAGAAAAACACCCCCAAAGCATAATGTTTCTACCTCCATGTTTGACGGTGTGGATGGTGTTCTTGGGGTCATAGGCAGCATTCCTCCTCCAAACACGGCGAGTTGAGTTGATGCCAAAGAGCTCCATTTTGGTCTCATCTGACCACAACACTTTCACCCAGTTCTCCTCTGAATCATTCAGATGTTCATTGGCAAACTTCAGACGGCCCTGTATATGTGCTTTCTTGAGCAGGGGGACCTTGTGGGCGCTGCAGGATTTCAGTCCTTCATGGCGTAGTGTGTTACCAATTGTTTTCTTGGTGACTATGGTCCCAGCTGCCTTGAGATCATTGACAAGATCCTCCCGTGTAGTTCTGGGCTGATTCCTCACCGTTCTCATGATCATTGCAACTCCACGAGGTGAGATCTTGCATGGAGCCCCAGGCCGGGGGAGATTGACAGTTATTTTGTGTTTCTTCCATTTGCGAATAATCGCACCAACTGTCACCTTTTCACCAAGCTGCTTGGCAATTGTCTTGTAGCCCATTCCAGCCTTGTGTAGGTCTACAATCTTGTCCCTGACATCCTTGGAGAGCTCTTTGGTCTTGGCCATGGTGGAGAGTTTGGAATCTGATTGATTGATTGCTTCTGTGGACAGGTGTCTTTTATACACCCTTTAAGAGTGTGCTCCTAATCTCAGCTCGTTACCTGTATAAAAGACACCTGGGAGCCAGAAATCTTTCTGATTGAGAGGGGGTCAAATACTTATTTCCCTCATTAAAATCCAAATCAATTTATAACATTTTTGACATGCGTTTTTCTGGATTTTTTTGTTGTTATTCTGTCTCTCACTGTTCAAATAAACCTACCATTAAAATTATAGACTGATCATTTATTTGTCAGTGGGCAAACGTACAAAATCAGCAGGGGATCAAATACTTTTTTCCCTCACTGTACATGTGCCACCTCTTTCGAGGAAGGCAAGTGTCTATGACCGTGTCCCCCACCGGCTCAGACAGACACCCCTCCTGTCTTTTCAAGGTCAGTTCAAGAGAACCTACGGTGCTGTCAGTGTCACACTAAAACGCTTCTGTTCACAGGACTCAGGGATTTATAGGTCCATGTAAATGACATGTACAATATCTCTTTTACAGAGGTATTAGCTAGTTGTGGCTAAGCCTAACTGACCAAAAAGCAACTCTTGCTTTCCTAGTCTTGCTACCCACATAAGTGATTTAATGGCATTGCCTAGCAACACCATGGCTTGCTGTGGAGGACTCAGTCGGGGTGCATACAGATCGAACACCACAAAGAGCCACGGCTCAGTGTGTGTGTGGATATAGTACTAGTGGAATGGAAGGTCAGTGTGTGTGTGTGTGGATATAGTACTAGTGGAATGGAAGGTCAGTGTGTGTGTGGGTACAGTACTAGTGGAATGGAAGGTCAGTGTGTGTGTGTGGATATAGTACTAGTGGAATGGAAGGTCAGTGTGTGTGTATGTGGATATAGTACTAGTGGAATGGAAGGTCAGTGTGTGTGTGGATATAGGACTAGTGGAATGGAAGGTCAGTGTGTGTGTGTGGATATAGTACTAGTGGAATGTAAGGTCAGTGTGTATGTGTGGATATAGTACTAGTGGAATGGAAGGTCAGTGTGTGTGTGTGGATATAGTACTAGTGGAATGGAAGGTCAGTGTGTGTGTGTGGATATAGTACTAGTGGAATGGAAGGTCAGTGTGTGTGTGGATATAGTACTAGTGGAAAGGAAGGTCAGTGTGTGTGTGGATATAGTACTAGTGGAATGGAAGGTCAGTGTGTGTGTGTGGATATAGTACTAGTGGAATGGAAGGTCAGTGTGTGTGTGTGTGGATATAGTACTAGTGGAATGGAAGGTCAGTGTGTGTGTGTGGATATAGTACTAGTGGAATGGAAGGTCAGTGTGTATGTGGATATAGTACTAGTGGAATGGAAGGTCAGTGTGTGTGTGTGGATATAGTACTAGTGGAATGGAAGGTCAGTGTGTGTGTGGATATAGTACTAGTGGAATGGAAGGTCAGTGTGTGTGTATGGATATAGTACTAGTGGAATGGAAGGTCAGTGTGTGTGTGGATATAATACTAGTGGAATAGAAGGTCAGTGTGTGTGTGTGGATATAGTACTAGTGGAATGGAAGGTCAGTGTGTGTGTGTGGATATAATACTAGTGGAATAGAAGGTCAGTGTGTGTGTGTGGATATAGTACTAGTGGAATGGAAGGTCAGTGTGTGTGTGTGGATATAGTGCTAGTGGAATGGAAGGTCAGTGTGTTTGGATGTAACTGACGGTTGGATTTGGTGTTTACATGCTATAACAGTATGGGCTTGCTAAATCAGAATCACAAATGACAATTAGAGATTTTTCATCTTGCCTAAGTCTCCATACACTCTGATTACAAAATGAGGAGAAGCAGTAAACCAATGTGGTGTGACTTTGATTCCCTTCCTCATTTGCATTGGTTTGACAAGCCAAATTAGGGTGGGAACACTAATTGGATAACAAGCAGGGCAGTCAGACAGAAGCGGGGTAGAGGCATTTTGACCGGGTCACAGGCAAGGTGGAGTCTGAGTTAGTTCTACTGATAGCCCTACTGACAGGAACGGGGTATGCTACTTTGAGGTGAGAGCAATTGCAAGATACACCTAATTAAAAACAAATGTATTGCTGATCGTGTTAGTACTTAAGCAGATTGCAAGTGTCAGGGTTTAAATGGATTATGCCTGCCCTTTGTGCCAGATTGCCATTGACCTACAGTGTGAGGAGCACCAAATTATCACGTCTGCTGTGAGCATGTGACTTGTATGGTCTCCTCACTGAAACAACTCACACACATCTATCACATAAAATATCCTGACATCATAAAGCTGCCGTTTATTGATGATTAGCATTCCTTAATGGATTTAGGTGGTCTGCTATTTTTTCTAGGTGCCAGCGAGCGCTCCCTAGAGTTAGATAGAAATCAGGGTAAGCCATTTTCATTAGTGACCTCCTTTCCCTTTCCAGAAATACCCTCCAAGACCGCAAAACACACCTCCAGTTCTAAGCGGTGTGATGTTCTTCTCCTGACGGGGGCTCTATTATAAAGCAAGGAAACCATTGCACATGAAACGGTGTGAAACGGTGTGAAACAGTGTTAACCAGCGGGACACTTACTTTCACTGTGTGAGTGTGGGTGGGCGGACTGCCTGGGTAGAACCCAATCATACGTAAAAATAGCCCCCTAGACACTCCTCAGAGAAAACACAGGTCTTTCATCATCTTTACTAAAACATGAACTCTACAAAGTACTCAATGCTCTCAGGTGTGTATAAACCCATGCAACAAAGGCAAGTATGTACTGAAACACAGGAAGTGGCATCAGACATACTTGTATACTTACAGCCCTGTGCACAGAGAGGGCTGAAAAGAAATGACTATTCCTCAAAATGGCTGCCTATTTACCTGTTCCTTGATGCCACCGACAGATGCTGTCAGGGTGTAATAAGACAGGCAGAGGACATCTGAGGCGGCGATTAAGAGAAACATGTATAATGCATACTAACTCTGGGGAGTTACATGCAAACCACACCAACCACGTTGCGTGAGTGAGTGTTGTGAAATACATTTACACTTACACTACCAGTCAAAAGTTTTAGAACACCTACTCATTCAAGGGTCTGTCTTTATTTTTACTATTTTCTACATTATAGAATAATAGTGAAGACTTCAAAACTATGAAATAACACATGGAATATTATATTATAAATGACATGGAATCATTTAGTAACCATGGTGCTGAATCTCTGATACTAAGCCTATTTGTTTGTCTGTCTGTTTAGCGGAGATGTTCCCTGTGACAGTCATTACAATAAGAGGGTTATCATAAAGTAAAAAAAGCCACAACCTTCTTAAACCCCAATGATAGCCAGATGCAAGGGGAGAGAAAAGGGCCAACAAGCTGGGTGACATCTTTCAGTCAAAGGTAAGCTAAAACAAATGTAATTTTCACTAGGCTATAGGCTAATAACCTACAGTACCAGTC